GGAAAATATTAAATTGGTTATTTTTTTCGATCCAATCTTCTAAGCAATGTTTTACATTTACATTAATAACTTAAAAATGTTATTTTTAAATTTACGAGGGTATTGAAAATTTAAAATTGTATAAAAAAATAAGTGATAAAATTTAGAGTTATACAGATTGTTGTATAATAAAGATTAAAATTTATATATTTTTTTTTATTTAACAAATAATATGGTACATAAGCTTAATCTTATTATAATAAATACTTTATCCATATAACTCAATTACTTTTATAGTTAAACATTGTAATATATACAATTTGAAAGATGATCTTCAACTTAACTACGCCGAGTTGATATGTAATATTAAAAATCTTTGATAATTTGATAGTATAAACTTATTTTACACTGAAATAATAATATAAAATAATAATGATAGTAACGCATAACGGTTACGTTATTTTTGCTAATATGAATTATCTTAATTCAAATAATGTACAAATAGTTCAAACATAATTTCTTTCACTTTTAATTACGATTACATTTAAATTTTTTTTTAAACTTTCTTCGCGTCTCTAATTTATTTTTATTTTTTTTTTTATTCCTTTCAATTTATTGTTTGTATGTATTTACTCGTTCTGTTTCACAGCCTCCACTGATTCACGAGTTATACACAAATCGACTAATAATTCAGCATATGTACTTCCTATTTCAATATTTTCGATAAGTTCGTAATCCTATCGTTTTTATATGCACTTGCGTTACAATAGAGGCAGCAAAAGTTCAAAGGAAGGCCGCCATATACTTTGATACAATGGAAGGTAGGATAAGATCACGAAGCAATTGGCAAATAAAACTCGATACGGATTAGACTTTTATTGCATCTGTGGCTTATTTATTCGTTCGGAATACATTATATAGCACTTACTGAGCATGCGATTGGTATGGTATGCCTTTACTGTTAAAATATTTTCTACATACAAAATGAACGGTTCTATAATTCGGTTTTGCTGAGATGAATGTCCACGAATATGGTAGACGATATCAGCTACTTAAATTATAGTCAAATATCTATATAAGCCTCGACATTTTAAAAGACGTATTTTAAATGCATAATCACATAGACGATTTCAGCATCTAATGCAAAAATTATTTTGTATAATCTATCTTCTTTAAGATATTTTTAAAAATTACAGAAAATTTTCCAATTTTGATAAAATGATTTTTTTTTTTTTTTAAACTATCATTATTCAAGTAATATAGCAACTTTTTTTTTTTTCTTTTTTTTTGCTATGTATTTTTAAATACATTTAATAATGATAAACCAGCGAAAATTCTAATTATAGTATGAAAACTTTTTACGTATAAAATTATGAATGTGTCCGTTAAGTCTGTTTTGTTATATATATAGGCATACGAATATTTAGAAACCCCAATTAATATATATGATTAGAATAGTAAAATTAAAGTTTAAACTATTTTATTGAAATCTCATTCTCGTGTGTGCAAAAGATTAAGAAAAAAAAAATGTAAGATAAGCTATTTTTTATAGTAAAAATCTTAAAAATAAATACTTTATGTATTTATCAAGGCAACCTACCAACTGTCGTGTGAAACTTGACGTAATGTGAGACTTATCTATACATCTACACTAACTAATCTTCATACAATGTATTTTCTTTCAAAATGTGCAGGTATCACGTGACTTTTATTTGAACGATACTTCTTATGAATTATTTTTACAAAAATTAGTAAAATTATCCAATAAATTATTGTTCAATCGAATCAATTTGAATTTTATGATATAATTGATATTGGCATCTTAAACTTCATTGAGTATGAACTTTACTAAAATCTATGTAACCCTTTTGTTTCTATCACTATAATTATAAACTAACTTAAATAAATTATCCTCGACGCTACGTCCTAGAGTTGAATAAATAATTAAATTTAACTCGATTAACATGATGTGGAAACAAAATTTTCATTCATTTTATGAATCTTTTCATTTGTATTAAAGCAAAATAATTTTACATAATATTAACATTGTAAAAAATGTCTACACTTATAATATAGAAATCACGCTAAAATAGTGTGGCGATGTTTGAATTTCGTAAATATTACTTAAAATGTTCTTCGCGACTACCCTCGAGTATCTAAATTATCTTGAATGTCAAAAGCAGTTATGCACTAGTATCGTTCCAATGTATTCACACATACAGGAAATGTATACTGTATTTAAAGGCTGAGTGCGACGCACTTATGAACATAAAGATGCGTGTAGAGTATTGCCAAACTGCGCTCGGTCATTCACACATGCAAGCAAAGAAGCCAAGCATCAGTAGGTGTGATAATTTCGACGGAGGTGATTTACGTACGGGTAAATTAAGGTACACTTTCCTATCTTCAATCTTTGGCACTGCTATTAGATAGGTGATAGTTAGAAATTAATTAGGCTAAGAGTTTGTCGAAGTTTTGAAATATTAAAATATTTCAATTTCTATATTTTTTCAACAATATATTCTTTCAATTGAAATGCATTTGAAAAATTCTTCTAAGCTCTTAAAAATCTTAAACACATTCGTAACATTTATTTACAACGTTAGCCAAGCAAAATCATTCAATAATATTTATATTTTATAATTCATGAATTAGTAATTTATAACGAGTTTTATTGTTTTGTATTTTCTAGTGTTGTTATTATAATTATTCAATTAGAATACTTCTGTCTTATTTTAATTATTTAATAATTTCTTACATGCACTGGTATATTTAAATAAATATTTATAACATTCAGCTCTAGACATAATAATAATAATCATTCTCTCTCTCTCTCTCTCTCTCTCGATCTTTAATACACTCATATACTTTAAAACAGCAACGTTCATATGAACTAAAACATTATTAATATTGATTGTAATAATAAATTAAAAACGAATTCATAGCAATAAAATTATCCATTACTATTTCTTTAATTTTAGTAAACTTTTTTTATCAATAAAGTAACAAAATAAAATTTAATAATCTTTACAAATGTTGAATGATTTTATCTCTTGATACTTTTAAATGACATAAAAATTAAAATTTATAATTCTATCCTTTAAAAAGATTAAATATTAATTTTTTATTTAATAAAATAATCAATTTGTTCCTGTTCGATTACTTTCAACTTTGTATTCAAAAACTGTACAACAGGATTATATTCAAGTGAAAATCAATACTTCAAAGTGTGTAAGCATTGGATTTATTTAAAGATATAATTTACCTTTAAAATTATTTCGAATATTTCGAATTTTGCATAAAAAAAAGAAAAGTCGCGATTTCTTGGGTTTCTTTTTTTTTTTTTTTTTTTTTTTTTTTTTTTTTTTTTTTTTATTATAACGAAAAATATACTCATTTAATTTTTTTAGATGTTATTGTTATTGGTAATATTAAACGTATGTTTTCTTTTCATTATCGGAAATAATTTCTCTTTATGATTAATAAGTAATGAAAGTTTAATAATTTACTTAACGCATTATTGTACATGTTAGTTTTGCATTTGGTGAAACTTTACACAATTACAGAATACTATAATTCGAAGTGAAAGTTTAATTAACGATGCTTATTGGCATGATCGGTTTGTTAGATTGGATGGCGAAAGTTATGAATCAGTGCTTCATTATTTCAACCTATTACTTACAATGTTATACAAGTGCTATTTTTAATTTAACTGTGGAGCCATTAATGTCCAACTATTTATATTGTATATAACAGATTTACGATATATTGTATAATCAGCGTTAATTATTAAAAAGTTTAATTATTCATTGTAATAAAAGCAGTAATAATTATAATGAACTTTTAAGAATGGTGAAAAGGTAAATTGACTTTAAATCGACTTTTGTATGGTATACAGTTGATTAAATAATGAACATGTATTCTTCATATTATTGTACAAAGTTAATAAAATTAAAATCAAAAGTCCGATAGCATTTTTAGATATAAGTAATATTTGTTGTTAGCTAATTGTTGTAAATTGATTAACAGATTTAATTAGTTCTGCAAACGATTATAGGTTTTTCTAGTTTGCGAGGCAGATTGTTCATTATTATTGTTAGTCAGCGTTAATTTATTGGATCAGTCAACTTTCAACTACAGATAGCAAAAACAACCTTTTAATTTATAAAAAATTCAGTGTTGTTCAGTGTTATATATCGTTGGGATTTTCGAAATTATTATAAGTAAAGTAGCTAAATAATTAATCAATGTAAGGTCGTTCGTAAGGAACTCAACTGTAATATTCCATTGATTATTGAACATTTTTTTTTTTTTTTTTTTTTTTTTTTTTTTTTTTTTTTTTGATGTATTTGGAAACGTTGTTTTCATATAAACTAGAATTAGAATAAATATTCTATTTTTATCTGAAATTTGTTTATCTAATGTTGCATTTATAATATTTAATATTATAATAGATTTGATGATATTAAATTTTATTTGAATAATATTACATAAATTAAATAATAAATTACTCAACTGTCATTTAAATAATTGACATTTTGGCAACAATATATAACAAAGATATTAAGATATTAATTAATAACAAATTACTTCATGGTAATTATCGTAGATAATTTAAAACTCTTTTTTAATAGTTCTATATATATATATATATATATATATATAAATGCATCAGTTGCATAAATTTATATATTACAATTAGACGAACATTATAGAATAGAAAAGAGAAAAATGTCAGGGTTTATACCTGCGCCACTTGTAAGATATCTATTATTCCTAATGCAGTATCAATTTTTTTATCCCAGCTAACTTTTAACTTTCTATTTTTATATGAATAGAGTTTATTCAAATGGAAAAATAGAAGTCTTATGCTAATTTCTTTTCACGAATGTGCTCTCCCACCAATTTGCAAAGTGCACACTAACTGCACCTATGCTCTTGTGTAACGTTCACTTTCAGAACTCCATTTGAACTTTAAAAGGACCCCTCCCTTCTCGACTTTATTATACGTTTCCGTTCGTTTATAATACGTGAGCAGAGGTTATGTTTTCCTCGTGAGACCATACTTTTGATGCTGGAGTTGGAAGTGCACATGTACACGATGTGCAAGTGAGTAAGCGAGAGTGAGTGCAGAGGCTCGGTGCCCAAGTGTTATAGCCATTGATAAAGAACGAAAAGGAGACACACACATAAGGGGCATAATCTTTTCGTTATCATGAGGCAAATAGAGCTAATTCAAGACGGCAGCAGTGAATGCGGAAGCGTCCGCAGCTGCCGCCACTTTTTAGCGACGAAAGCAACGACAACAACGTCGAAGGTGACAGACTCTCATGTGCCGTGATGTTGCTTCCTTATTCGCCTGCCTGCTTGGACCAGCAGTTCTATACTATTATCCACTGCTACGATGCAGTCGCAGGCGACGACGAACTCGATCACGACAACGATTTCTTTACCCCTGGTTAGAGAATGCTAAAACGATATTGTCTTTACTCTATTAACATTCAGTTTTTATCTTCATTAGTTAAATATTCTTTCGACAATTAGAAAGGCTATTTAATTTATTCAACAAAAATCGTGAATTTGGATAATTCAATAATAATAAAGAATGTAATGCTAACCAGCTGGTCAATGCTACCATTCATTATCTAAGTGATAAATTTAACGATATTAAAGCTATATTAATGTGATATCTCAATAATACAGATATTTTCAATTATTTTTCATGTAATAATAAAAAAAAAATTGAAATATATATAGCTACCTTTATAAAAATTAAAACCTAATCCCTATAGCATAATTAAATTTACAAACTACTTTTAACCGCTGTATTATAATTAAAATTATATGATTTATTGAATAATCATTAATCCATTGCTTTAGGTATGTTTAGGACTAATATTTGTAGTAGTAGCACTATGTAAATTTGCATATTATATTTGAATTTACAATTATAATTTGATTATTTGTTGAAATACCAGATAGAAGATGATAATTCTAGCTATTAAAATTAATGATTTATGTACGATGAGTGGGGTGTAATATTTAAATATCAAGCAAGAGATAAATATGAAAGTTTTTACATTTTATATGAAAATTAAAATTCACATAAAATTAATATTTTTAATATTCAAATTAGGAATAAATGCCATGAGGCGATTGTGGAGAAAGATACATGGCTCAACTGCATGATGGAGACCAATTATGACGAGGATCTGTCACAGAATGCCTTTTTTCAAACTTTGCAACAAGAACATCAGACAGTCTTTGATAGAGCTATTGGAGAAGGTTGGATTATTTGTATTCCTAGATGCGGCACTTTCAGCGAGGATGCATTAACCGAGAAAGACTTTTTAAGTCACATTTTGGTACCTGATGACGAAGAGCCTGGTACAAATATTTCAATTGAACAAAATATTTTACCAATAAAATAGTTTATGTAATTAAAATAAATTTAAATTACAAATAATTTATTTAGCCACGCAGTTTCATACATTGACTGATCGAGAAGTACGCTTATGCAACAGGGTTTTGACCATTCAATACGATCCGTCGAAGTGTCAATCTATCTATTTATTGTTCGAGGAAACATTTTACACAGCAGATCTTATTAAATACTGTGTATGGTAGGTTAAATTAATATTATTTTTGTTAAATCTTGTTGAAAGAATTCATTGGTATCATCATATTTTGATTGAGGGATTACGGTACATTAGAAGGACAAAAGAGTAAAATTTTGGGATTTTTAAAATAAACTAAAAAATTATGTATATTCTTCAATGTTGCAGACGAATGAAATTATAGTAATTATGTTAAAAAGTACATTTTACAGTTCCAGAATCATCTAAATAAAGATGTAATAAAAATATTTCTATAAAGAATTTATGCATTCTTAAATAAAAACTGTTACAAATTTTTATTAGTTTTTGTAATAACAATTGACCATTTTTTAACAGACAATTAACAAGTACAGATTGCTAACTATTTCATTCAATTTTTCATTGATTTAAATGATTCTCAATACTCATTTAAAATTGTAATTATTCTTTAAATTTTGTCAATTTATTGTTGAGAAAACTGTTTTCACTTTTAATTGAATTTGTCATAGATACTTATTACAATTTTGTCAATATCTGTAAGTTAGTCTTTGCATTTTTTACAAATTACTAAATATAATTAATAATATGCTTGTGCTTTTAATATATATATATATATATAAGCACTGTTTTTGGCTCACTTTTCAAGCAAATAAATATTATAGTACAGTAATTAATAATAAACAATAGCTTTTATAACAGTTTCGGTCTAATTCACCAATTATTATTGAAAATTTGATGGATTAATTTGTGTAACATTATAATTTAATAAGGAGCAAAAGGGAATGATCTATTTTTCCATTTCTCTAGCCACCCCCTTAATATCTTGAAATAGTTTCATTTTAAAGTTATAAATCTTGATGTATTTTATGAAGAAGTTGAATAGTTTAAAACTAAAATAAATCTTTATAGAAATGAAGAAGAGAAAATTTCTTATTATAGCACCAAAGACTTTCAAAGCTAGTTTTTTATTGGCCTTTGACATTTTGAAAGTAAATATTAATGCTCCAAAGTCTTATTTCGACACTATAACATTTCTTCATTTATATTTCAATTTATTATATTAATTTCACTAATGTTTAGTAATATATAGTAATATAAATGTTTAGTAATAATAAAAATTATATTGTATGTACAGGTGCATAGAAGGTCTGTTAAAAGATGAGATTAGTGTAGCATGTGCCGAAGTGCCGGTTGTTAATACCTTAAAAGAATGTATAAATTTACTATGGACTGAAGTCGATAAGAATGTTTTACATGAATTAGATGAAATTATTGAAGAATTTGCAAAGTCTCATAATAATTTAGAAAAGGAGTCTCTCCAAGTACAAACTGAACTTGTCAGTGTGTTATATACCAAAAGTCTTCGAACTCTTTTGAAGAGTACAAAATTACGAGAGCGAACAATCGAGAGCCATCACTTTTTACAGACAATCAAATTAGCTACCGAAACTTATGTTTTACATGGTTTACGAAAAGTATTACCACAAGCTGTGTCATTTCGTACAGCCTCGGAAGATGCAAGTTTGAATAAGATTATAAAGAATTTACAAGACTTGCAATTACAGGATCTTAGTGTCCGTGCTGATCTTTATGATGGCGTATTACGAGGAAAATCTGGTATGATTCAACATTTTGTAATCAATGTATTTTAATATTTATTTTACTTTTGGCAATCAACGAAAAAATTATAAAAAAATTTAACGATAAACAAGCAATTCCTTTTTCTTTTTCTTTGTAATTGCATTTAAAATGTTGGGAAGGCATTTTGAGAGTGATATTCATCAATAAAAATATTAATATTTATTTCTCACATAAGAATAAATTATAATAATATAATTAGCAAAATTTATTATAAATAATTGGTGAACTGTGATGTGTTGAAGGGCATTTTAATAACCATACAATAACAGTTAATTAGGATTATTAATTAATCATATCAGTTAATTTTAATCATATTAATTCAATATATTAAATAGCAAATTTTATATAGAAAAAATGTCAGTGCAGTGTTTAATCACTTTGATTAGCTTTTTATGAACTTTATGCATATTATCGTATTTATACATAAATTCAAAGGATTAAAATTTTTGTTATAAAATTATTAATACTTTTATTTTTAATACATAATGAAAATTTTATTTTGCTAAAATATAGTACATATAAAATTATTCATATTTAATATATCATTCTTTTTCTTTTTTTTTTTTTTTTTTTTTTTCCCTGAATCATTCTAGTATGATAACGAGCGTTTAAAGTACAAATGTTTATGTTTTATGGTCGTCTTAATATTGCTCAAAATGTAATTCATCTTAACGTTCATTAAAAGAAATTTTTCGATTCTCTATATTTCGATTGATTTTTTTTCTTCTTTCTTTTAATCAATTTACTATGTCATTTTATAAAACTTGGCTAAAGTTATTGTTTCGATGCCGATGTTGTTTCTAAAAATTCGCAACAAAAATAAATTAAAAGACCGAGAGAATATCTTGAAATTCATTTTTCTAAGATATCATATAAACAAATCAACTAAATAATTTATGTTTAAATTAGCTTAAAATATTACAAAGAAGTTATACATCGATACATTGACGTATCGAAATAACGAAAATTAAATTTCTAACTAAAGAGCTGGCTCGGCTGGATTGCCATTTCACATCACTGGGCAAGATAAATTGTGTGAAGCGAGTGGCGCGCTTCGTCTCGCAGGGCGAGAGCTCCGTCTCTTCCGACGACCTTCTTCCCGTATTAATTTTCCTCGTGGTGAAGTCTGGTTTAGCCAACTGGTATGCCCAACTCACCTTCATGAAACAGTTCAGATACTCGTCGAACGCCCACGAGACCACGGACGAGGCCGGGTTTCTGATAACCTCGTTGGAGGCGGCAGTCGAGCACGTGAAATCGGGTTCGTTAACCTTTGAATCCTTCCAAATCGAAAGGAGATTAACGAATAGACAGGGAATTTATAAGAATGAGATATCGTCGACCGGGATGGATGAGACCGATGTATCCGGGGTGTCGGCGAACGAATTGTTCGAGCACGCGAAAAAAGGAAATCTGAAAGAAGTACAAAGAATATTGTCGGAGAGAGCCGAAGGTAGGTAATTTTCCATTCTATTTCATATTATACTTTCTGAATATCCTTTGTAATAATCATCGGGACGAACGACGAACAAATTATCTCTACTCAATGCATTGTTAAATCACTAGCATCAAAGTTAAATCAAATCTCTCGAAATGGCCGTTTTAAACGTCATCGTTAAATTTATATTTTCAACGAATGGTCTTCGACAACGAAACACCTTCAAGTCTCACCTATAAAAGAGAGCGATTGATGCACGTCATTGCCGACTACTACATACTACCAATCTGATAAACCCACTCGGCGTTTTGCAAATGGTTGCATTCGGATTCGCAGGTGCCTCAAACGAGACGAAACTTTGTCACCCACTGTGCCTGTGCGAGAGTTGCGAGCGCAGCCTGTCGAGAAGCTCGCTCTCCGACCTATCGACCGTCCTCGTGGCTGACGAGCGCGGTCTCACCTGCCTCCACGTGGCCAGCGTCTACGGGCAGGTGTCGGTAGTCGACTACCTGCTGCAGCAGGGCGCGGATCCCAACGAGCGCGACACCGAGGGCATCTCGGCCCTCCACTGCGCCGCGACTCGCGGCCACCAGAACACGCTGCTCCTTCTCCTGCACGCCAATGCCGATCCTAATGCGATCGACGCCAAGGGTAACAGTGCCCTTCACCTCGCCGCCGATCACGGCCACGACGCCTGCGTCAAAGCCTTGCTTTATTTCGCCGAGCAGGCCCGCATTCTCCTTCATATCAAGTGAGCTCTACCATTCATCGAGACTAATTTTTATTTCATGCAACGACAGCATGATTTATTAGCTAATACATACGAGCACGTATTTATTAAATAATTATTCGTACCGGCTGATTTGCGTCAAATCGATCGACCAACCTGATAATTTTGCCCTCAATTGACGGATTAATTGCGAATCCATGGTCCCTCGATATAGCGGTATTCGCATTCCGTGGATGTAAAATACATCGTACGAATACCGAAGGAAATACAATAATCTTGCTTTTTATTACAATAATGAAGTTAATGATTTTCTATTTTGTTGTAAAGCCAATTTTAATAATTATTAATGAGTAATAATGTGGATGATTAGCTTGCGATGGGAAAACATTAAGGGAACAAGGCTTTGATGACGCTTTGTTGTAGAGATGATGAACGATTATATTTATTGCCCCCCCCCCCCCCCCCTCCATTTTGGGAAGATGAACTCGAAATGCATAGGCAATTAATTCCATTATCAAGCGCTCGCTCGCGCATAAGACTCATAATATATGCTTTGTACACGATATCAGTACGGCGAACCTCCAGGGTGACACGGCGCTGCACTTCGCTTCCAAGTGGGGTTACACCAGCATCGTGGAAATACTGCTGGAGTACGGGACGGACCTGAACTTGAAGAATCGCAGGGGGCAGACGCCATTGAGCGTGGCGCATAGTAGTCACATTGCTCGACTCCTCGAGGGCTCGATATCTAGAACGAGTACACCCACGGGCTTGTCCGAGTACACACCAATGAGGAAAGAGCCAAAGGCCGAGACCGGAAATCACTCGGCAAGCGTTGGCATTGCCGCACCGACTTCCGGTACACTTGCGTGAGTATCGGATCACTCGTTCATTTAACTTTTCAACATCGCCATATCCGATTCTGGTAGATTCTGTTGGATTCTGGTAGACTCACACTGGTTACGAATTTCATGAATTTCATCATACCCGTCGTCAATAAATGCAATAAATGCAATGCGTATTTAACGATATGCTTCTTCTTTTTTTTTTTTTGTTTCAAACCGTTCGCACAAACTTCTTTACAATTTCAAGCTTTACTTATATTAATATTATTGAAAATCAATAGAATATAGAGCTCGAAATATCAAAATCGTGATCGTCCAACATTGAATGGTTTCACATGAATTAAGTAAATTTTAATTATTGGTTGATTAATCAGTTGCTGAAAATTTGAAGAATGTAAGAGAGTTAATTTATCATGTATTGATATTTCAACGATGCCTTACCAATATTATTGATATATTGACAACTTGTTGCAATGCTATTAATTATGTATTAATATATGTTATACCGTAAGGTACTATATTATTTTTCAATTCAAATATATGTGTATAATATTGATGAAAATATACTTTATCATTTATATTTCATAATTACGAGTTAGAGTAAATATGTAAAAATAGAAAAACAAGAAACAAAAAAAAAATCATTTTAATTTATCGAAGGTTTGTATGAAGAAAAAATGCATTGGTATTTAACTCTCATAAGCAGGGAAAATATCGATTTTTAAGTATTATTATTATTATTATTGATGGATCGATTATTTATTATAGACAGTTATTGTCCTCGTTATTCGTTACAAAGTTGAATTTTTTTATTAAATAACGTCCTAGTAGATCCCTCGAGCTAATGATTATTTAGAGTACCTTATATATCTGCATATGTGTGACTTTTAACGTTGTAGGTTACAAAGTTCATTCGGCCGTAACAAAGAACAATGCTTATTAATGTTGAATTTAGTACTTTCCTACAGTGTATGTAAAAATCCAACAAGTCTTGTAATCGTGACTTTGCAAATGCACTTGCTAAAATTTATTGTAAAGCATCGTGGAGGCGCATTTAAATATTCAAATAATGGATACGGGTGCGGTCGGCTCGGGCCTAAAGAATCAATCCGAGACGTCTCGTTGAAATCCCCCTGCGTAGCTAATAATAACGCATTTCCCAAACGGCGTGAGAAATGAGAAGAAAAAAGTCTTGTCGTTTCCTGCCAAACAGTTATCGGGGCAGTCTGACGGACGGGATGCACAAGATCGATCGGCTTTTTGCCGCGGTCGCCGAGGGCGACATTCGCCTAGCCTCGTACTACCTTGGGCTCGAGGGTCCCTGCAGCAAAACCTACGTCTCGGAGCAAAACGAACCCAAGTTCTGTCATCCACTGTGCAACTGCGATAAGTGTGTGTCGATCGAGGAGTTGGCGTACGAGCGGGAGACAAAGCCGCCTATAGCCATAAACGCCGTCAACAGTAAAGGAGAGACTGCGTTGCACATTGCCAGTGCCGCTGGATGCATCGAGATCATACAGGTACCACAATCAATCTCATCATCTTACTCACCTTTAGCCTCTCCTCTCATCCCCTCACTCACACACACACACACACACACACACGCACACACACACTCTCTCTCTCTCTCTCTTTCTCGCACGAACACACACACACGCGCACGCACACACGCAATTCCTTTATTATCGCGATATCCGTATCTGGAGACCGGGTTCGAGTTAAAGGGCTGGCTACGCCGATATAAGACTAATAAGTACTTCGAGCGTTTCGTTCTTTTCATTAA